GATTAATACATTTTATAAGATATGTTCACCTGTTAGCATGTTGCATACCATGTTTGCAGGGGTAGTAGAAACTGTTTTGTCTTCTGTTCTTCCATCTCCTTTGGCAACTCTTATAGATACTGCAGTATCAGAGGGTTTTTCTACCTAAAAAGTCAGAGACATATTCCAGAAACGTATCATGGCTAAGGATGAAAAAGCTCTTCAAATTTATGGAAGGATAGGACTCATGGTACTTAATATAGCTATAGATTATAGATGTGTTGATATGTGCTAACCTGGACAGCTTCTGGAAGTTTCTCAATTTCTTCAACATCATCTTCATTTACATTCGATGCAGCAAAAACCTCAAAATGGCTAAAGTCTGCGAAGTTTGGCTGTTCTGGGATTTGTTGAGGTGAAGTACTGTTATGCACTATTAGACCATCAGCATCTGATGATCGATGAACATGGCTTCCAGCCTATAGTTTTTTTTAAAAAAGAACTTTTGAAAATATAACAAAACACAAGAAGTTGATCGAGAAAGTTTGCTACTATACCCTTAACCTAGTCACCACCAACTGAGTCAAATTATGGCACTTTCACACTATGAGAGCTCATCATTTTGAGAATACACAATTCTTGCTTGCTTTCTTCAAGACAGGCCTAGTGTGGGCTATGCACTGACAAAGAGTTTTGTAATAAAGAGGGTAATTGTATTTCATGGCCTAGAGCAGTGGTGGCGAACTTATGGCACTGGTGCCAGAGGCGGCACTTGGAGCCCTCTCTGTGGGCACACACACCGTCTCCCCAGCCCCGCATCCTCCCACGGCCCCCTCCTCACCAGCAGCTCCCTCGGAGGAGAGTCGCCCCTGGGCACGGCCCACGCGAAGCAGCGCAGCCAAGGATATGGTAGCTGGGCAGCTGGGACAAGACTCTGCCCTTGCGTCCCGTCACGCGCAGATGATGCTGCAGGGCATGGGCGGAGGGCGTGGCCACCATGGCGCAACTGGGCTGCCTTGGTGATCTGTGGCGGGCAGTGGAGGTGGATGGCCCAGTGGGCAAGGTGGAGCGGGAACGGGGGTAGGGTGGTGGTTTTGGGGCACTCAGTAAAGGTTTGCCATCACTGGCCTAGAAGAAAATGTAATCACGAAAAGAATGTCGGAAGAAAACGTTGCCAAGTTAGAACAGAAATTCAAATATACCTGTGCGGGCTGAGGTCTTGGAGGCACTGCTGGGGGACAAGCAACCACTCCAGTCTGCTGTTGACCTAAAAAGCAGTAAAGATTGAAAAGCTTCTGGCTTAATAATACGCTAATCATATTAGTTTCTGGAAAATGTTTAGCTGTTGTTTGGATATACAGTATTCTGTCAATTAGAGTCATACTTCAGTAGTATCTGTTGCTTTATTTCAGCCCATCATATGTGTTAAGGGTACACAACGTTTAATAGGTTTTAAAACTTTGTGCAAAAAGCAAAGTCCTCTATTAATTCTATACAGTATCAAAGAGACAGACATTCTTTAAACCGTCTCAATATTACATTTTAGAATGTCTATACCATTCTCAAATGTATACAAAGTCACGGTTGCAATTATAATTGACAATGCCTTGAATGTCATGCAAAATTTGAAAAAAAAAAGTACCTAAGTGATTCATAACCTAATATATACTATTATCCCTGGGTGCCCATAGATTGTAATGTGCCCAGTGACAACTGGCACCTGCCAGTATCCTGTTTCACATGGTTTTATTAATTTTTTTGGATGGTGGTGGTAAATCAATGTTTTGGCTATGACTCTTGAGCAATTATTTCTGTAATAACATAAACAGTGGACCTCTGGCCCATTTAGGCAAGCAATCTGTTCTCTCAGTGGACAAGCAACTGCATAAAGAAGTCTATTAGTCTCCCAGCAGATGGCCTTCAGAGGCAGCCACACTGCCATCAAGACCAATAGCCAGCGGTCCCCGTGATTTCCATAAATTCGTTCAACATTTCTGAAGCCAGCCAGGCTGGCAGCCTGCCCAACCTATGGTAACACCACATCTCATGGTAAAAGATATCATATCGTGTTCTCCAAATTCAAATATAGATTGTCATTAACAATTGGGAACCCTGGTTTGCTAAACCGTATCAGTGTTTTCCTTTGAGCTTTATATTGACATTCCTGTGATTTAAAATGGAAGACTACAGAATTTAATTATAGTAACAATATCACATTAAACTCCTGGCAAGACTGGCATAGGGAATATTAACAACTGAGGAATTTACCCCTAAGGAAATATAATAAATAGCATTTTAATTATAGGTCTCAAGGAATAGAATGCATTACTAATCATCTTAGAATTGTGAACTCTTGAACATATGATGTTTTTTTAAAAACTACCATTAATTTTGTTCTTCAAAAGTTATTTTTTTTCTTCTGTATTAAAAAACAGTCTTGTAGCATTTAATATGCTTCTTTAACTGTAGTAGCAGTATTACACATATTTCACTAGTTTCATCAGATCTTCCTTAATACTACTTGGAAAAAAAATCTAAATGATTTCCATAAGCAACATGTACATTTCTAAAAATGCATTAATTCAAAACAACAGAAACAACCCCCCCCACACACACACACTTCAACTACACCCACCTGGAGTAACTGGGAAGGTCCTATTCATATCTAAAGATGATGATCGGGAATGAGAGGGGTGAGGCCTTGGAGGGGGTGGAGGAGGAGCAGGGTTATCTGGAGAAGTCCCTGAATGTGACCTGAAAAACAATGGAACTACAGAAATTCTATTGCAAACTGCAACTTTCAAAGACTAAAAGACCAAAAAAGTAACATGTCAACTGACAAACTAATATCCCGCCATCTTGGATTAAAACAAGTTTGGTTGAGAATGCTGATCTTATACAATGCAAATAGTCCCATTTTTAAATTTGTGCATCACATTGGATGCATTTATTCTAACTGCTATTACCGTACATCAAAGTTCAGCTATGTCTTTTTCATGTATACATTAACATCTGAAAATGGACATGCTAAAAATCAAGGCAGTGTTCCTCAACCTGATGCCCCGTCAAGATGTGCTAGATGCATCGCTTCATCCAACAGACCATCCATAGTACCTGGAAGGACTTTGGAGAATACTAGCTGAGGAAAGGCTGAATTAAAAACTTTAACCAAGTGTGAAGCAACAGGGCCTTTCTGTTTGACCTGCTGAAATTAGCTCGTATTAGGTACTGTACCTTCCTCAACAATCGAGGAGAAATCTTAGCCTATGCAGTCAGGGAAATTGAAAATAACAAATCGAGGCCCAAGCTGTTGATTGGAAAGCAGTTATTCTATCAGGTAACAGAAAAGGGTGAGGAGTGCTTTGTTGAAACAGCATCTCCAGTAGGCTCCCCTCTTTCCTTATTATTTCCACTGATGTTATTTGCTTTAAGAATTGTGTAACTTTATGGACTGATGATTGCGTTTATCACCATTTTCCTGCTTTTGTTTTGCATCTGTATATTGTATTTCTTCTGTTTTATTTCATGAGAGCAGGATAAAATGTTGTTAATAAGGAAATAAAATTAGGTGACTACAACTAACAGGAGCACTTGTAGAGCAATTTAAAAAAAAAAAAAAAGATTACTAGCAAAAAAAAACCAGGGCAACAATTTACCTGAGGACAATGAGATTTCTGGAAACAGAATGACACATTCTGCAAAGCATAACTATGTATGTCCTTTAATCCATTTCATTTTGCCTAGAACTCAGTCATCTAATTGTTTAAACCAGTGGTTCTCAACCTTTTTAATGCCGCGACCCCAACCGGTCGTAAGTCGAGGACTAAACTGGTCGTAAGTCGAGGACTAAACCGGTCGTAAGTCAAGGACTAAACCGGTCGTAAGTCGAGGACTAAACCGGTCGTACGTCGAGGACTTTCCCTGCCCAGGAGCGCCGCGCATGCGTGGTTCCGCCCCCTGTGCCGGCCGAGGCGTAGCTGGCAAGCGGCAGAGACGGAGCAGGCCGACCACCAGCTGGCCCAGCCCAAGGGAGGTAAGGCACCCGCCGGAAAAGGGGAAAAAAATGGCAGACAAAAAAAAAATGGCGGACAAAAAAAATGGCAGACAGCCTTGCTTGGCAACCCCCATGAAATGGTTGATCGACCCCAAATGGGGTCCCGACCCACAGGTTGAGAACCACTGGTTTAAACAGTCTGTGAGGGTTTTAACTTCTAAAAGCCTAAAATACTTCAAGTCCTCTGAAATGATAACTCTGAAAAGTAGTACACATTCATTTTGTCTTTCTGTTAATGTCGCAGAAAAATAAACACAATGCTATTAATTGTAGAGCAATAATACCAGGAAGTATTATAAACTCTTGAATCGCCCTCATAGAGTCACATGAAGTTTTACCAGATTAAAGTTATGTTCTGCGAACAGGCTACAGGGTGACCAGTTTAGGCAAACAGACTTCTGCTTGAATGTGTTTAATATTTAAGCAGCTAATTACCGTTGTCTGGTTACAGTACTTCCAATGTGTTCTGCATCTGAAGTAAAGGAATCTGAGCTGCTGTAACCATCTGCTGGAATAGATTAAAATAAAATCTTACCCTTGATAAATTATATTGCATTACAGTCTTTGATGAATTACATTGCATTGCAGTCTACAGAACTAGAATTTAACTTTTAAGAATTTAAAAAAATAATAAATTGAGCGCAACTGATATAACATTTGACATAAGACGAATTTCTATACCCATCAGAGGAATTCTGATGTCCAGCCCTGACACTACCACTGAGAGTATATTCTTATGGGTATATACAGTAGATGGCCCACAACAGATACCTATGGCATAAAAGAAGTCACAGTAAATAATTTTAAGTGAGCAGAATGTCAGATAAAACTGCTAGGTTTAAGAAATCCATAGTCTACCACCTGGAAGGTTACATGAATGAATTTCTATTAGAAAGGATTGTGTGAATCATAAAATTGGAAAGATCTTCACCAGCCATATTTGGGCTTGGATATTTACTGAACTAAATCATATCTTTGTACTAGGAGAAAACACTTTGACTATATAAAAACTACAAACCAATTAATTTTTGTTGTTGTAGCAATTAACGCACAAACATCTCAGACAATTCAAGAACACCACACTTATAAACAGCTGCTGAAAAGGACTAAGTTATACTGTGTTTTTTTTTAGCTGACTGGAATAGCATGTGTTTTTCAATACATTATTTATTGAAAAATAAACACCAATACTTACCAGCTGTATTTCCTCCTGTGAATTTTACTGATGAACTTATTTTACTTTCTTCTGCAAGATCTGGAGACTTCACTAGCAGGGGACTTGTAGGGTTTGTGTGATCTGGAAAGAAATTTAAAAACATTCAGTGCAAGTTTAGGTAATTACTTTGAGTATTGAAAGTACAATTGTGCAGTTTGATGCAAGCCACTAAAC